CACCCCCAGGCGGCCCCCCAGCCTCTCGGGCCCGCATTTCTACCCAAACCCAACCCTGCCCGCGCGGGCTTTTGTTGCGGCTCGGGGGAGATCCGCCTGCTTAAAAAAAGCGGCCGCGAGGGGCCGAGCCAAGGTGGAGGAGAGCCCGGGAATCACCTATCAGCGTCTGGAGGATCTGCATATCCCCGCCCGTCCGTCTGGGGCTCTGCGCTTCTGGCAGGCTGCGCTCGGGCTACGACCTTGGGGAAGAAGGAAGGGCTCGTGCGCCCTTTGGGGAGGCTGCGACTGACAAGAGGGGGTCCTTTTATAGTTCTGGGAAGGCTGACCGGAATCTCCACCCCAGAGCACCCTATTTGCACCGAAACAACACAACACCCTGAAATAATACAGGGCGTCCTCTTTGGGCAGTGTTCTTCCCGAAAGCAAACCCCAAAGCCGGTGATTCTGCTCGAAGCAAAATTGCACGGGGTGGGGGTGGGGTGATCGTAGAGATCCGCAGGTCTTTCTTATGCTGTCCCCCCTCCTTAAAAAAAAAATTTAAAAAGCCCTATCCATTTTTATTTTGCCAGGCATTTTTCGATGTGTCGTTTTTGATCTTGTGCTGATTTAGTTTCTCTTTTGTTTTGGCGCTTGAACGTTCTTTTGTTCTATTGATACTTTATTCTTATAAGCCACCTGGGGGGCTTCTTAATGGGTGTCCAATTATGGCATATGCATCTTTTATAAATGAATAGAAGCTAATTGAAACAAATAGCCAACCACTGACATTTGATTGTCAGGCCGTAAATGTTTTGGTCAAAAGCAGCATCCTTTCTGCTGTTCTCCCATTTGGGTGCCATTATTTACTTGGGTTACTTGCATTTGATCTTTCCTTCCACTGTTGCTCTGTTCTGGACATTTTATCTTTCATCTTTTCCAGCTAGAATATTTATATGGTTGTCTTCCTCTCTGAGGACCAAGAACACATTCGCCATGAGATAAAAAATAAAATAAAATAAAACCTCTCCCATCGCTAAATAAAGAAATTTCGGCAAAAATAGTTGACCTTTTTTCTTTTCTTCTATGCAATATCCTCATTTGACAGTTGGAAAATGCTCAGGTTTAGTGCTAGAAGCCTTCTTCTTCTTCTTCTTCTTCTTCTTCTTCTTCTTCTTCTTCTTCTTCTTCTTCTTCTTCTTCTTCTGGAAGGGAAAACTGATGAATTTAAAACATACCCTTTTCAGATTTTTTTCCATCCAAGTCTCCTAATTCTATGCTGACTGGAATCCTGGAAAATGAGAGCGTTACCCCTGAAAAAGAGCATTTATTTTCATATATGAGAAAACACTCCAAGAATCTGCTGCAGGTCTTATTTGTGTACAGTAATGAGAAACTGAATTAATGAGATGCCAATCAATTTGGAAGCCACCCAGCAGTAAGATAGTGGTTTTTACATGTTCAGTGGACTAATAGGTATAAAGAAGGACACACAATTGTTCATTTGAAAAGAACTATATAAAACCTCCAGGCAGATCTTCTGGAGTACAAGGCATATGAATGTATTATGGGGAGGGTGGGGGAGAGAAATGACCAGATGCAGATTACAGATGTATCTTTTTTCTTTTCTCTTTCTGGGAGGTTGGCAGGCTCTTTCATATTAGTACTCCCTGTCCAAGACAGTGGTTCCTTTAAAATAGCATTTCCTTTTCAATTATTTTCTTTATTATGATCCTTGTAATTTGCTTGTTTACTTCTTATTTTTGTATGTTACATTGAATGGTTTTGTTTGTTTGCTTGTTTTACTATTGTTGGCTGGCTCTGAAATTAATTGAGAGTTATTGGCAAAATAGACAACACAAGGCTTTTCTCACCAAAATGTTAGTCTCAAACATTTTCTTGGAAGGACTGAGAATAGATGAATAGGAAGGGAGGAACCTTAAAATGGAAACTTAATGTCTTTTCTAGGTAGCTCAATGGTACTTTGGCATCCTGAAGGAACTGTGGGGATGAAAGAAACATTTGAATTTTTTTCTTCAAATAATGGACAAATTAAGAGGCAAAATAATGTACTTGAGGGGCTTAATTTGTGCCAGATGATTATTTAGTATAGATAATGTTTCCAACCCTAATCCTAGAATATGGGAAATCATAATAAAAACATATGTAAAGTGACATTCTATCATCACAAGCATCAACAACTTTTCAAAAGGTTTCCAGGAGAAACCACTCTCTTTGTAAAAGGTTTTAAGTCCTGCTAGTCTATTCCAGTTTCAGTCAAAATATATGGCCTCCCCAAATGGAGTAGAGTTCCAAGCATTATGCATTTGTGAGAGTTTATTTCCTGTCTAATACGCCCCATTCCTTTTCTAACAGAAGCCAACACAGGAAGACAGATCAAAATCAGATATCAGATATCAAAAGATATCAGCTATCTTTTCTGTTTCCTCACTGTAGACCTAGTAGGCTGGATGGTACTGTGAGCTAAAAGGAAAATGGCCACTCAAAGTCATTTCTCAAGAATCCTATTTATTTGAATATTTGTGCATTACTCTTCATGGGCAATATTCACATGAAGGACAATATAAATAATATATGCACAAAAAGTTTAAGAATGTTTTTGTACACTAAAACTAGGGACTAGTAATGAAGTCATAAACTGCAATTAACTATTACAGAGTCTTTGGGAATGGGTGACATACTAATATGGTACGTAACTAAATAAATAAATATGGTATTAAAGATCAAATGAAAGAAGAAGCTAGCCTAACCATGTTGGGGAGAAAGCTCCACAATAAGGAAGCTGCTACAGAAAAGCCCCTGCTTCCTTCCAGAAGATTGGGTAAACAAAGTGATGCATTTCCTGTTTTTCAGGGACAGCCCTAAGGGGTAGAATGGAGAATTAATGCAAATGTGGAGAAACAAAGAAAAATGATTGTATTCTCAGAATGATGTTTGCTTCGATAGGTGAACTTATGGATGGTATTTCAACCCAGGTCCAGGCAATTCAGCCCATGCCAAGATACAAATTGAGCTTCAGAAGAGAAATAAGGTGCCATAGCTCATTTTCTATTACATTCCCTCCTGACAATTTTGTTTTGAGAGTAGTTTGAGAGAGTTTATGTGGTATCTTAATGATTTTTTAAAATCCAAACAATTGAGATTGGACATGCCAAAAAAAAAAAAGTTTCTATGTATTATTATCTACTAACACAAGATTCAGTGGAGAAAATGTTGAATGTATATATACCACTATATATATACATACATACATACACATACATACATATGTACACTTACACATATACATACACACACACACACACACAACCCCCCCGCCCCCACTATCACTGAAGAAGAGAAAAGCATGCATTGTATAATTTCTCTTGATATTGAAGCTTAAAAAGACTATGGAGCCAAAGACCCTTGCATGAAAATCCAAACTGGAAGAAAGGCAGGTCAGAATCCATTTCATTCAATACATAAAACCCTGATATAGTGCTAGAACTGCTTTTTAAACTTTATTAAGGATCAGAGTACTAGCCAGGAGAGGTCCAAGTGAGTGTGTTGTCCCCATCTCAGTCTGTGGTTCATCCCATCCAGCAATTGCTTAAAAGACATACAACTGGTGTAGCAGTTCATCTGAAGAAGTACTGAATGCAGAATATGAATATTTCTGATTCTGAAAAATTAGTGGCAATATCATGACAACTCTTAGGTACAACAGTTAGGAGGGGTAGATTTCATGTGGGGGGAGGAAGCAACATTCAACTGTTTGCTGAATTCAGATGACACAACCAACTAAAGCAAAATTTCCTAAGTCCTCCTCATGGCCATGTTAGAGGAAGTGTGCTTGTGCATGTATGAGCAAGATAGATGCTGCTGTAGTAGCCACACAAAGACCAAATAAAAGTAAGATCTGGTCAGAATGATATTCCAACATGTGTCTATTTTCAATGTTCTGCAAACAGTTCTTTGAAATGCTAGATATTATAATTTGTTTTTGCTTTATGAAATTGCTAAACTGACATAATGTGTCATGTGGCATCTTCTGCTGCATTAAGTATATAAGCCATTGCTGGAGGCATGGCTACCAGTTGCATGGACCAGTAATTTGCTCTCCTATGGAAGTTCTTGTTTAAAATAGGTCTGGATTAACATGGAGCCAACAGTTGTATCAATGATTCACACAGGTCATCTGTCCCATGGGAGGAATATTTTCTTGGTAAAGACCTTAAACATTGGTAAGAACATAAGTTAATGAATGCTTCTGTTAATAGAAAAGACTTACTATTATGACATGGTTGTGCCATAACAACATGTGGGAATAAAAGGTACTCTGACAGCATATGCACATGGTCATTTTCTCTGATAGGATCAAAGAGAACGCATTCAGCGTGTGACTGTCTCACTATCTGTTCATAAACAGAAACATCTCCTCTGCTTTTGCTTCAGTTTGATTATGGACTCACAATTGATAGCCTCACCAAAAATGACATACAAAGGTTGTTTTCTGTTCATATAAAAATTTCAAGGCCAGAATTATAGCAAATAATATAGACCCTAAGTAAGGAATGTTTTGGTTCTCCATTTCAAAGAAATGTTCCACAAGATTTCTGCATGCATTTCATTGTGGGCTAGTGATCCACTGATGTTTCCATGACCCTACTTTCTCCAGAGCCCATGCAATAGGACTAACATAGTGAATCTTCCTCCCCATAACAGTTATTTTGTGACTGCTTACAACCTGTGCTCAAAAGGTCTAAAAAGGTAGCTTGCTCCTGTTCTATATCTCTTCTTCAAGCTATATTGCCACATCAAAATGATGCATACGTCTCATCTCGTGAACCACTGAAAGACCACAGACAGTTTTAAAGATGTGCACCTCAGTGTTGGGTCATTAGTTCAAGGTACTCTTTGTCATCAAACATTT